TGCTTGTGCCTAAGTCACTACTGATTTTAAAGCTAGATTGCCTTGAAAACTTTTCCTAATGGGGCTATATCCCAAGTTCACAGCTACAGCCCCAGCAGCTGCACAGGTCTCTGGGCTGGTGCCAGAGCTCCAGGCCAGGTCTGAAACCTACTGCTTCCACTCTGCACCCTCTTCCCTCACACATCGGTGCCCAGACCTGCTCCAGAAAGGACTGTGTGAGACCCAGAACTGGCCGGGCACTGCTCACTGCAGCTTTTAAAACAATGCCAGGTTCAGCAGGAGCTTGGCACATGTGTGTTCCTGGAACCATTTCTCTCGCTGAGACCCTGAAGTTCCTTCCAAATACTCTGGGCAGCTGGCACGGCAAACAAGCATGTCGCCACTGTGCGACGATGCTTCCCTGCCCCGAATCTCCCTCCTCCCTGTGAACACCACCTCCACACACCGTTTCCTCTGCCTTTTCCCAGTCAGGAGCCCACAGCTCCTTGAGCTACCAAGTGAATTATTCGCAGCTGGTTTATTGAGGAAGCTCAATTCGATAGGAACATATACAAGGAAACTTAGTCCAAATGGAGTCCATGGTTTCTGTCTCCTCCCAACTCTACGGATCTCCTGTTACTTTTGTCTTTAGAGTGGTCTCTTAGCATTTAATGCCTGTTTATGATCAACTTAAATGCAACCCAGGCTCTGGGGCTCTGGGGCCTGGTGGGGCCGGGGTCTGATGCTAGCCTGCGCTTTGTCATCCAAGGCCACATTCACCCTGAAGGGGGGATCTGCTCGGAAGAGGGGAGAGAGCAGCAAGGATTCCTGTCAGGGACAGAGTGTGACTTTCCCTGCTGTTATATAAACAGGACATCCAAGTGTACCTTGGCCTCCCAGGCCTATAGGCTCCTTATACTGTCCCACCCCTGTGCTCTGACACTTGCTTTCCTGTGTGCCCTGCTTTGGAATTTTCTGCAGTATGGTGGTCCCTAGACTTAAGTGCCTTCCTCGGGGCAGCAGACATTCTGAAAAATGGAAAGTAGAGAGTCAACAGAAACCAGGAAGGAACCAGAAACACTCTGTTCCCTTCTCGGGGGTACTTTGCACCATGGCACTATGCACTACAGTGACAGGTGGCCTTGAGAGACATCTGTGTCCGTGGGAGGATGGCAAGCACACGAGAGGACACCCCAGGCTCATGCCGGTGCAGTAAGGAGAGAAAAACCCATTACAAGATGTTGCCATTGTTTCACTTAGGGTCATTGTTGCTGCGATGAAGCAACAGAACCAAAATGCAAGTTGGGAAGGAATGGGTTTATTTGGCTTACGCTTCCACGTCACTGTTCATCATCAGAGGAAGTCAGGTCAGGAACTCAGACAGGGCAGGAACCTGGAGGCAGGAGCTGATGCAGAGGCTATGGAGGAGTGCTGCTTACTGGCTTGCTCCTTATGGTTTGCTCTGCCTGCTTTCTTATAGAACCCAGGACTACTAGCCCAGGAATGGCACCACCCATAATGGGCTCACCCCCCCATCAATCACTAATTAAGAACATGCTCTATAGGCCTGCCTACAACCTGATCTTACAGAGGCATTTTCTTAACTGACATTCCCTCCTCTCAGATGGCTTTAGCTTGTGTCCAGTTGATATAAAACTAACCAGCATGGCCATAATAGAAACACCACTATCTCAAGAGATGTGAACCTATATAAAAAAAAAACCCAGAGTCAGGTTTAGAAATTGCCAGTATGTTGAGATTTCAGTGTGGCAGACTCTAGCTCAGGTGTGTTTGATAAGGTGACTGTATTAGTCTCTTTTCTGTGGCTGGGATAAAACACCATGACCAAAAACAACTTAGGAAGAGTTTAGCTAGAGTTCCAGAGGACAGGCCTAAAACACCATGACCAAAAGCAACTTAGGAAGAGTTTAGCTAGAGTTCCAGAGGAGAGGTCATCATGGACAGGGAGAGAGCAGGTAGCTGGAACAGGAAGCTGGAGATCAATCTCTATCCACAAGCAGGAAGCAGAGAGCAAATCGGAAGGGGAAGAGGCTCTGAGCCCTCAAAGCCCACCCCACTGATGCACTTCCTCCAGCAAGGCTGCACCCCCCAGGGTCCCATAACTTCCCAAACAGCTCAATCCACTGGAGCCCAAGAGTTCAAATACTTGAGCCACGATGACTAGCCTCTCTCAAGCCATCACAGTATCACAGACTGTGGCCTGAACAACAAACATTTCTCAACATTATGACATCAGGGTGCAGATTTCAACATTTGAATCTGAGGACGTGCTTTCATTTTACTGCAGATGGCAGTATTTAAAAAAAATAACACACTGGACAAGATCGAGATGGCCAGGAGACTCTCTGCCTTCCTCAAGAATGCCTGGGCAAAGGAGTGGGTACTGGTGGTATTCTCTGTCTGGGGCCTTGCTACAATTATTTCCATAGTCAGCCCCTACATCAAGTATGCTGCCATGATCAACCAGGCCACGCTGTACAACTCCCCAGTGTCTGTGTGAGATAATGGGCATAGGCCATTGTGCCCAGTCACCCCCAGGACGCTCAGGGTCCAAGCCTGGAAAGGCTGAAGAATCCATGAATACTCCTGATGGAAGGGGTCCCCTTCCCTGTTGCACCCCCCCTCAATAAAATGTGAAAACCAACCCGCAAAAACAAACAAAAATAAAAAATAACAGACTGACCTCTACTGAGGAGACTGTTTGGAAAAAGAGGCTCCTGCTGTCTAGGGAATGCTGGCCACCTCAAACTGGAAACTCTACCTTCAGTGGATGGACTGAGAAACTGCCCCCCATGTGTTCAGAGAGACTGCAACCCTTCCCCTCTCTCCTGTGTACTAGCAATGGCCCTTATTAAGCAGAGAAAGGGGCTGTTGAGCCTGAGAACAAGGCCCTGTTGACAAGAAAGTGTTCCCAGGAAAACTAGCTACTAGGGTTGTTGTGACAGTGTGGCTTGTGATTAAAGAAACTGCAAACATTGCCAAGGAATGTGAATGTTTAAACCATGCAGCCAGAACAGGGAATGAAATGTCTATTGTTAGGTAATTCTCAAAGACGATGTCCTGTCCTCCCCAAGGTCAGTTCTCCTTGCCTACTAAGTGGGCCAAGAGGCATGTGGACGGATGATCCCACCTTGTAAAGTGGGGCAGACTGGGTGTGGGGTACGTGGGCTTCCCCAGAGTGCAAAGCAGACAGCTGCTCTGGCATGGGCCATGTGACCAGGACCGTCACCGTATCTTCGTCTGCTGTATGATCACAGCTGCCTTGAGCTAACCAGGCACTGGGGATGCTGTTGGCAGAGCCTCTGCCCGGGAGATGCACCATTTGGTGGAAAAGACTCAAGTTCAGTGGAAACATAAAATATTTGACAGATGAGAGGCTGGGGGAGGGGCAACCAGGAAAACCCTAACCAGGCCAGGGGGAGTTCTAACAGTAACCTTAAATCTGTGTCAAGTGTTATTCGAATGAAAAGCAAGGTGGGCTGTCCAGGCCTGAGAGGCAGGAAAGGTCCTAGGCTGGCCTCACAACTGGTTAATGTCAGGTATGGGGTAAAGATAGGTGGGATGACACCATTTCCACTTTGCTTTGGGAGAATGTGGGCAGACAATAGAGTAATCAAAACCACCTGAGTTCCCTAGGCCAAGCAAAGGAGGCACCTGGTCACTGGCATGTTGGCCCAGGTCCCCATTGATGGCTGCCAGCTTTGACCTGGGCCAGAGTGATGGGTGGAGCCCACACCTCCAACCCTCTACTGTCCTGTCAAAGGGGATGGTAGGCCCTTGAAAATCTCCTGGGGACATCTAGGAAGCCACTAAGTACTCTGAACCTGTGCATAACAGAGGACAGCTAGCTGGGACAGATTCTTACATATCAGAGACACCCACACATGGTAGCAACATGAGGACTGCTGCGGGCTAGAACCTCTGATGACAGGTTCTACAGCTGCCCAACTCCACTAGCCACCTTCAGAGCAATGGTACCTGCCACAGGGTTATTAAGAGAAACCTTAGAAGTTGTTTTAGTGGTCAGAGATAGGAATGAGTAAAGTGGGAACCTTACCAGATCTCAGTACAAACAGACATGCAAGGGCCAGAACAGAGCAGTCCATGGGGCAGGCTGGGCTCCGCTGGAGAAAAGCACACTCCAGGGAAGGGCTGCTGTACGGTGTTAGTGTGGAGACACATCCACAAGACATACCAAATGAATCCCAGAAATGGCTGTTTATTAAGTGGGGGAAAGACCCAAGATTCAAAGCACTGAGAGTCATCCCAGAAGCTTCACAGAATGGGTCAGGACTGCCTGCTCTTAGTCCTTCCTGGCCCAGTGGTGCCTGCACTACAAGGCCACTCCGTTTGCAAGACACTGTGTGACTTCCTCCATCTCATCAGCATGCAGTGGATTTCCTCAGACGTTCACAACAGTGTCACAAAGACTAAGAACAGCAGCAGTCTGAGCCTCCCGCTACCTCATGGAAACCCACCAAGATGGAAACAGGCCATTATTTTGTTTAGAAATATTATGCTCAGAAAAGATAAGTTTTCATTAAAATATAGTACTCAAGCTTACATGTCCTCCATTTCTTTTCATGGCTTAAATGCCATTTGAAAACTGTGACATGGCATGTGATGACAAAGCCTACATGTGCCAAGGGATCCTGGGACCGGAGAGACAATCTGAGTACATGGCTGCCTGCTCTATGATGGCTCCTGTCATGTATAGGTCATGTTCTGGACTAGACACCGGGGATACAGCTGGCAGAACCACCTCTCCCACAAAATGTCAGAACTATGTGGGGCATAAACACTGTGACAGAGACCCTTCTACCACACCTGGGCCCCCAGGCCTAGTGTCCATTTGTGTAAAGGATTTCATAGTTTCTCCCAAGGCGCTGCTGTGCTCCAGCATCCCTCTTGCCCTGCGCAGCCTGGCAGAGCCAGGCATTGCTTGCCCACATGCAGCTTCAATCACACCCACAGCAAACCCCAGAAACACTTATAGCAGATACGACACACAACACTTAGTATCTTTAATTGCATACGGAGCTCTTACAAACTGGTCAGGCCCATCAGTGGAGCAAAGGACATCGGCAGTCTGCAAAAGAGGAAATGCAATCACTTGGGGTAAAAAGGTGCTCAACGTCCTAGAATCGAAAGATGCAACTGAAGCATGACGCTGCTGTCCTTCTCCAAGTCAGAAAATTCTCAGTCCTGGCAGAAGACCCTGAATCAGAGACACTTACCCTTGCTGGTGGCAGTGTAATGGACACAGAAATTTCTGGAAACTGTTTTGTCAGTAGGTAATGAAAGTTTCAAGGGCCCCATATTCGTTAATCCAACAATCCCACCTTTGAGAGTCTACCCCTAGGGAGTAACTTGGTCCTAAGAGGAAAACCTGACACACCATCAATTTCTAACACAGCCCTGTCCCTCGGCCTGAGGGAAGGGTTCATAGCCATTCAGAATAAGGTTGGTGGCACATGGGAACAGCTGTGTCATACGCACACGGTGAGGGTCCACTGACAGCACCATGGCGCAAGAAAGATGGGGCCAGAGACAGGAAAGAAACACCAAAACCCTGAATGTGACCATTTTCTTTCCTCTCCCTGGTCCCCTACCTGATGCGTGCTGCCCTGGAGAATGGGAAGCTCTGGTCCAGCTGTTGGTGGCACTGAATGGGGACTCCTCTCTTTAGCTCTACCTTCTGTGGTAGACCAGCCGCCACCAAGTCCAACTTGAGGTCCTAAAGAGATGTTAAAGGCGAGGACCTCCCCAACACTGGGAAGCTTGCCCACTGGCCCAACCTCCAGTTCTCACTTCCTACCTCAAGCCTCAGGCCGTGATGTCCAAGCAAATCTCCTGACAGAACCCTCCAGAGCAAAGGGCAACCGACTTATCACACGCAGGACACTTGAGAGCCCCTGCCACCTAACACCCTGTCCCCAGTGTGCTCCAGCCACGCCCCAGGCTTGCTTCCTAAGTTACCCTCAGCCCACGAAAGCTTCCCCACCTCCATCCACTCCCCTGCAGGCTGATACTGGGGGCACGCTCATCCAGCAGTGGCTGTCCTCTGCATCAATAGGACCTATCTCAGCCAGCCCAAATGTACTACCACACAGCAGTCACACCTGTCATATACTCAGCTGGGGTCAAGGAGATGGGTCTTTGCTATTTCCTCAAAGCCACTAAATGCTTTGGGACATGAAGATAATCCCAAGGTCACATTATACACCAGGCTGGGGAGTCACCCTCATGCCAGGTCGCACTGTCAGTTAGATTCTGAATACAGTAAAGCCTGGTGACCAGATGGGTATCACAGAGTCTGGGGAGCAGGCACAGTATTGCCGCAACAGTCCATGCTGAAAGGCCACACTCCTTCATTCACAACTCCTCCATCCCCCTCTCCCAGTGCTCTTCTGAGCTCAAGAAACTATAACCTTAAGATATGTACAAAGCTTCCCCTCCCCCTCTTCCTCAGCTTGATGCCCAGTTACCACAGCCTCCCTCTGGAGCTGCACGGGCCTTGCATCTTGTCATTTTGGCTGGGGACTAACCATGCCCCCTACTAGGACCACCATGGGGTTCCTTAGCAACAGATCCAAAGTGGTTCTTCCAGATCCTACGTGGAGGGCAAGCCTCAACCCTCTCTCATGTGCTCCAGGCTCCAAGCCACAGAGCTATCGAGATGGTTCTAAATACAGGGCAGCACTGCCCCATTTCCACAAACACAAACACCAAGAAAAACAAAACAAACAAATAAACAAAAAAACCACCAAGCCAATGCCACCAGAGCAGCAGCGTGGACCCAGATGGTGAAAGGAGATAGTAAAGCCATATCAGGAGACATCTGGCCAGCATGGCTCTGGCTCCAGCACCAGCTGAGGACTCTGAAGCAGAACCTAACACAAATACATCACCCATTGGTCCAAGGAGCCAGGGCAGGTGACATGCCTCCCAATGGGTCTCTAATCCTGGTTGAGAAGGCCACAAAGAAACCTTTTCTGGTGAAGCTGTGGCTTCACCTGGGGTCCCGTCTACTGGAAGATCCTGAGACTCAGCTGTTGGGAACCAGTGAGCATTCTCAATGGGACCGTCGGGGAGTCTTCTGCCTGCTTAGGAAGCACCATGGTGCCAGCAGGGTGCCTCGGTCTAAACTGTTCAGCAAGACTGCTGGGTTAATAGAGTTAACGAGAAGCAGGTGGCTGTGGGCTGCAAGCCCAGCGAGCACTGAATGAAGACTCCTGGCCTTACAAGGGTGGCTGCTTTGGAATCAGTCACTCTTCCCAAGGACAGAGGAAGTCTCTGAAAGAGGCCAGATTCCCGGCCCCGCCTCTGAACTCCCGAGAGGGGAGAGGTGTATTTGGGTGGGTGCAGAGGCGATTTTTTGTGGTCAAGCCAAGACCATGCAGAGGAGGGCAGAAAAACCCAGGAGAGGCACCCGTCTCCCCCAAGGGGCCAAGTGGGCATGTAAACACAGTTAATTTGGCATTGAAATGTGACAGATGTCACTGTCCAGGGGCTTGGCTGACTCTGAGTATGATCTCCAGGCATCCTTCTTCAAAGAGGTCAACACCTTGCTCCTCAGAATGGGAATGTGTGTCCACATGAGGACCAAAGCTGCTTGGCTGCTCTTCGACATTTCTTCAGCAAGAGGCCAACACCCCCTACTGAAGGTGCTCCATGTCTTCCACAGGGGCTGGCCCCCAGCCAGTCTTTTGTTCTTGGACAAAGGTTAGCCATCAGGCCCAGGCACAGAGAGGGTATATGTCACGTGGGTTCCTTGGACCCTTAGAGATGGTGTGGGTGGATAATAGGCCAAGTGAAAGCCACTTTCCCTGGGTGGAAGAGTCTGTGGCTAGACAAGGCCCACGATAGAGCCACGTGGGCAGGCACGAGCAGACAGACGACTATGAGCCTCTCAACAAAAATCCCGGCAGCAAATGGGGCCTTCAGGGTCCCCCTCAGGCTGAGTCTGCTATAGCTGATGCATGGACATCAGGAATCTGTTGCCTGTGGAAGCCTGATGGAACTGCCCAGGGTCCTGTGTCCACAATTAACTCCACAGACGAATGCTAGATTTCCCTGATGCCTTCCAGAACACTGACGGTGACGGGTGTGAACAAGTCTCCTGTGGATGGGAGGGGCAGGAATGTCTATGAAGGACCAGGCCTTCCCAGCAACAGCAGTGGGGTATGCTGAAATGCAGGCTCCCTCATAAGGGAAAGGATCCCTGGAATGCAGAGTGACTACCTTCCCAAATGACCAGATGTAGGCAGACTGGTTTAGGTACACATCAGCCACCTACAGGGCCAAGTTGGCTTCTTTCTATTCAGAACTCATCAGCAAGACCAGAGTGACCAGGAAGGGAACCACCAGGGTGCTTATAGAGTACACAGAAGCTGAATGTCTACTAGGCGAGCCCACAGAGGTGGTCAGCCTAAATGATGCTTAGGCAGGCACATGTCCAAAGCGTTGTGTTGTGATTACTACAGAAGCTTGGATTGCCAGCGACAGAGAGGGGAGCATGCACTGAGTTGCAGGTAAAGCTAGCAAAAAACAAAAACAAAAACAAAAAAACCGCACAGCAGGGTGGATGACCAGTGAGGATGGCGGGATGGCCTCCCATAGACCAGGAAAGGTGTGAAAGGTGTCTGCAAACAGGACAATGCTACCATATTGACAATTCTTCTCAGCAACAGTCTAGCTACCTGGGAGGCTACAGGTCCCTAACGGTTCCGGCTGCGAGTAGGCAAGGCTGGGGCCGGACTGGTCCCATTGGAGGCTGGATGCACCGGACAGGGTCCTGTGCTAGCTGTGGCCAGCTGGCGGCATAACATCTGCCTCTCCCGCACAGCCCTATTGGATGCCGAAGTCTTCCGGATTTGTGCACGCCTTGAGTGCCTCAGCGGGGATTTGTAGGTTCTGCGCAACTCAGCCAGAAACCCCTGGTAGTTGTTGCGCAAAGGGCTGTCAGGCTGCATGTGAGGGATGGCCCACCTCTCCGCTTCCCCAGTCAGTCGGGACACCAGGAAGGCAACTCTCTCTGCTTCACCCGGGAAGCGGGAGGCTTGAAAGATCATGAACCTGTCCATCTGCATCAGGAACCCCGCCAGCTGGCCGGGGTCTCCGGAGAAGGGTTCAGGCAGTGACGTGGGTGGCGTGGTCATGGGTCGGGTCCCGTTGGAGGTGATGGCAGAGATAGGTGGAGTGATCTGCAGAGCGCCGGGGATGCGTGCCCTAGTGCGCAACAGGGTAAGCTCGGCCATCACGCTCTCCAGCATGTTGGTGAGGTTGGCCTTCTCGGCCCTCAGTGTGGAGGCCTCACGCCTTAGAGCAGAGTTGGTGAGGCGCAGGGAGGTCAGGGTGTCAACCACATCATCCATCTGTGCGCTGGCACCAGGAGCAGAGGCTGAGCTTTCGGTTTTGGTGGTCTGAGGTTGGACCATACTGGCCAAAGGCAAGTCACAGCGAGCTGGAGAACCAGAGCAAAAGGCCTTGGGTGCCGAAGCAGGTGCGCCCAGGCAGAATCTGGGAGGGCACGCCTGGGGATGCTGGTCCTGCACTGGGCACAGCTCCTTTCTGCAGGCTTTGCAGGGTCAGAGTGTGGGGCGCTGGCTGGACCTGACCAGGCCTTGGAGGATGTTCGAGCTGGACCTGCTCAACCCTCGCAGGATGCACAAGCTGGACCTACCCAGGCCTTGCAACATGAGTGAGCAAGACCAACCCAGGTCTTCCGGGATGAGCGGGGTTGGATCTTTCCAGGCCTCGCAGGATGCATAGGCTGGACTTGCCCAGGCCTCACGGGATGCGCAGAGCTGCGCTGCCCAGACTGGGCGGAATGCACCTGCCGGAGCTCGGGCTGCGGGTCAAGGCGCTGCCCGCGGGTGCCACGCGACTACCTGCGAGAGAACAAAGACAGCCGCACCTGGGCTGGTCCCCGCCAGGCGGTACGTGTACCTGTCGCTCCGCCGCTCCCTTCGCTGCCAAGATGGCCCGCGGGTCGGGGCCGCGCCCGACCTGTGCGTCACGGTGCCCGCCGGAACTGCTTCCCGGGCGGCGGCGGCGGCGGCTGCGGTTCCCGCGGGGCTGGAGTGGTGGGGTCGTGGCACTGCGCGGTCACCGCGCGGTCTTTGTGCGGGCGCGGACGGCGAGACAGCAGCAGAAAACCAGGCAACTGGGTCGGGGCCTGCTGGTTGCCATGGAGACCGCCCGCTCCCGGAGCGCCGTCCGCTAGAGACCTGCCTTCCGGAAGTGACGCAGCCCCGCCCCCCGGGCCATGCGCCTTTCTCAGCAGCCTATCAGCGAGGAGCGTGGGTTCTGCCATTTGATTCTCTCTTGGAAAGCTTAGATTCTTTCTGATTCTTCCTAAGACAGCATCCTGAGCCTCTCAGTGGCGGTGTCTTTTTTTTTTTTTTTTAAGTGAGGTTGGCTTTTCTTACTGTTAACTTGAATGCAATTAGCATGAACCACATGGTCATAGTAGTGAATCTTGACAAAAAAAGAAAAGTATTTTTTATTTTAGTTTTTTGAGCCAGTATTCTGTAAGCCAGACTGGTTTGGAACTCAGGAAGTATCCAGGATAACCTTGAGTTGCACCTGCCTCCACCTACCCATTGCCGGATTACGGGAGTTCACCACCACACTGGATGTTTTGCTTTCCCTCCCTTTTATGAATCAGGGTCGTATGTTGCCCAGGCTGGCTTTGAACCCACGATGTAACTGAGGATGACTGTGGCCTTCTCATCTTCCTGTTGCCACCTGTAGTGTGCTGGGATTACTGGCTCTGAGTGCCACAGCCATGAGTGGTGCTAGAGATCAAACCCGGGACCTCATGCCTGCAAGCATGCCACCACTGAGCTAAATCTTAGGGGAAAAGAAAACCTTTCAGTTCCCTCATTACATCCCCTTGTGAGTCAGCCCCAGATTCACAGTGGCACCTCCCTAGGTCCCTGGGTGCTGTTGGCTACTAAGAGGCCTGCTGTAGTTCAGCTGTGGTTGACAATATTAGACCTGAGGTTCCCCAGTGCTGTGGAACAGTCCTGTACACTGTGTAAATTTTGCTCTGATTGGTCTAATAAAGAAGCTGACTGACCAATAGCAGGGCAGGATAAGGTTAGGCGGGAAAACCAAACTAAGGAAGGGCAGAGTCCAGGAGAGAGATTCGAGCCAGCCACCAGAGGAACAAGACATGCTAGAGAGCAGGTAAAGCCATGAAGCCACGTGGCAAAATGTAGATGAATAGAAATGGGCTCACTTAAGTTGTGAAAGCTAATTAGTAATAAGCCTGAGCTATAGACTGAATGCTCTGTAAACAGGACAAAAGAAAAGTTGACATCCCAGTGCCTCAGAAAGAAGGTATGTCATTAGGTTCCAAGAATGATTCACAATAGCCCCACTCTTCGGTTTCAGATGAGCAAATTTATTAAGCATGTAGCAAGGAAAAGTAAAAGAACAATTAGAAAGCATCAGTGCTCACAGCATCCTGGGTGGCTGTGGCTGGAGTAGCCTGGCTGAGAGCAGGCCAAGGGAACAGCCATCAGTGGGGGCCGGGAAGGCATAACTGGGGAAGAGCACTTTCCTGGAATTCCCGGTTGCAGTCGATGAGCGTCCTGGTTCCCACTCCCACCACAAGCATTCTCGTGCCATGGGATAAACAATCGTAACTTCTGTTGGACTCAGTTTGCCTTCTAGCTGTCCTCAGGGTACAAAGATTTTAAGGTCTTTGGCTGCCGGCTGTCTTCCTCTCTCCCAGGAAGAGGCCTAGGGCCCAGCTTGCCCTTGGAAGGGAGTTTTAGAGACCCACTGAAATAAACATGCCCCCCCGCCAGTTGGCTTGCAGTAACCTTAAACACCCTAATTTTGGATATGATAAAGCCTGACATCTGCTTATACTTTGCCTCATTTCAAAGAGGCAAATAAAAGTTGTAGTTCAGAAAACTGGAGTAAAATGAAAATGCAGGCTGACTTGGAATTTCATGCAGGATGCCTTGAACTTCTGGTCCTCCAGCCCCCCCACCTCCCCAACGCATACCTGATTCTTTTGCAATGGAGAGCAAGCCCAGTGCCTCATGCATGTTAGGCATGCACTCTGCCAAGTTGGGCAATCACTCTGCCAGCCGAGTTCCAGCTCCAACCACCAAAACTAAAAGAAATCTAAAAATCAGAAAAGCAGAGGAAGAGGACTTGGGTTCAATTCGGGTCCTGATGCTGCTGTGACTCTAGATCTGAAGCCCAGTCTCTTCTGTGAACACAGGAGGAAACAGCGGACCATGTGACTGGGCCCATGGACACCATGGACAAGACCAGCCTCCCTGTGGGCTGCAGACATGGCCTGCTGAATTCTGAGTCCTCTCCTGTAGTAGGGACTCAAGGGTGGAACAGGACCAGGCTGCTTTTTGAAGCCAGGGATGAGAAGAGAAACAAGTCACTTGGAAAGAAGAAATTCATCTGTTATTTCATAGGGGCGGGGGTGTCAGCATGTGTGAAAGTGTGGCCCTTGAACCACACAGGCACCAAACCCTGAGCCCATGTCACTGGGGTGGATGAACAGCCCACACAAGGGTGAGATTCTGAGGCTCATAACCTCTAAGTCAAAATCATGTTCTTAACTACAGACCAGGCCTCAAACATGACATGCTAGGTGCTGGAAAGAGGGAGGGAGGGAGGGAGGAGGGAAGGAGGGAGGGAGGGAGGGTGAGAGAGAAGGGAGAGATTTTTATGCACAAATGAGAAAACTCAAAGCCTGAAACATCCAGAACTATGCTTGATGGCAACAAAATCAATAATCAAAAAATGAATTAACTCCAGATGAAATTAAATAGTTGGAACAATGAAGAGACTTTAAACTGAGCATGTGTGGGTATATGATAAGAACAATGAGTGAATAATATTTATAAAGAGAACAGGGGAAGGGCATAACGCATCAGGATCAGGCAGCCGTGGAAAACCAGGTGAAGGCGCTTACCAGCAACCCTGACAGCCTGAGTCAGTGCCTGGGCCTCACATGGTGGAAGCTCTGGTTTCGTTCTGTGCTGTGATAAAACACTATGATCAAAAGCAAGTTGGGGAGGGAAAGGTCTGTTGGCTTACACTTCCAGGTCACCGTCCATCATTGAGAAGGTCATGGCAGGAACTTGAAGCAGAAACAATGGGTGAATGATGCTTGCTGGCTCATGCCAAGGCTTGTGCTTAGCTAGATCTCTTATCTAGGCCAGGACCACATGCCCAGGGAATGGTGCTACCCACGGTGGGCTGAGCCCTTCTGGATCAATTGGTAATGGAGACAACTCTCCACAGTCAGGCCCATAAGCCATTCTGATCCAGGCAACCCCTCAATGAGGGCCTTCCTTTCAGAGGACTTTAGGTTGTGTCAAGTTGACAATTAAAGCTAACTAGGACAAGGGTACAGAAATTCCCAAAAGCAAGCATCATTCCCAAAAGAAGAGAACATGTCCATCTATGGTGAATGGAAAGCATAACCTAAAAATCAGTTACAGGAGAAGAATGCTGGTTTGTGCTACAATGTGGACAAACCTTGAAAACACTGTGCTAAATCAAAGATGTCAGGTTCGTAATCCACATGGAGTGGGAACATCCAGAAAAGGCAATTCTTGAATACAAAAAGAAGAGTGGTCCATGCCAAGGTCTGGGGAGAAGGGGGGATGAAGAGTGATGAGGAACAGCTGAATACAGGATTTCCTTGGGGTGTAGAGTGACGAAAACATTCGGCAGTTAGTATTGATGAACTGTACAACACAGAGAATAGACTGAAAAACTAAATCGATATTTTTTTATTGTATGTCAATTGTATTATTAAAACAAACAATGACCATTCACATAAAAACTCACAGAAGTTCGGGACAGAGGAGACCTTCCTCGACTGGATCTGAAATAACCACAGGGTGGGTGAGATGGCTTATTGTGTAAACGCACTTGCCACACAAGCCTGGTGACCTGAGCCCCATCCCAGAAGGAGGGAGTCACCTCTACAGGATTATACCGTGTTAACGACTTCCGCACACATTGACAAGAAATACCATTTAAAAGAAGCAAGTGCAGCGTACAACCAAGAACTGCTGGGGTAGTGGCTGAGGAGAGAGCACTTTCATCCTACAGCTGGGCAGGCAGTGAAGTCAGCATTTGTGTTCAGCACGGTGCTGACAAGTTTAGCTGGTGCAATGAGTCAGGAAATGGAACCTAAAGATTCCTAGTCACTTTTCTGTTGCTGTAATAAAACACTACGACCAAAGCAACTCATAGAAGAAAGTGTTTCTTACAGTTCTAGGGGATAAGAGCCCAAGGCCATCACAGTGCAGCATGGCGTTTGGAACAGAAGCTGAGAGCTCACATCTTAACCCATAAGCAGGAAGCAGAGAGTGGACTGGGAATGGCGAATGGCTTTTCAAGTTGAAAGCCCACCCCCTAGTGGCATACTTCCTCCAGCAAGGCCACACCTCCTAAGTATTCTCTTTCCTCAGCAACTGTTGTTGGTAGATCCTACCTTGATGGAGGAAACTGAGCCCACTGAATCATGGCTGGTCTTGTTCGGCTACTTGTTTTAGATAATTTTCTGTTTTTGTAATAAAACACCACGACCAAGGCAACTTACAGAAGAGTCTGTGTGGCTTAAGGTTCCAGAAGATTAGAGCCCACAGTGATGGGGACAGCATGGCAGCAGGTGGCAGGTGTGGCAGCTGGAGCAGGAGCTGCGGGCTCACATCCTACACAGCAAGAAGCAGAGAGGAATGGCAAGAATGTCTGAAACCTCAAAGCCCACCCCAGTGACATGCTTCCTCCGGCAAGGCCACACCTCCCAAGTCTGCATGAACAGGACCACCACACAGAGAGACATACTCTTCAGTGGAGTAGACACTGGTAAGTTGCTGTAGATAACCCCTCACCCATGCTCCTGTCAGTAACCCCAAATGAAACTCACTGATTGCTTCACTAAAAGACAAAAAAGAAAGCAACCGAAAAATATCAAAATAAATTTTACTAGAATATGCTGAACACATGGAGAAAATTTTTAAATGCTGAGTATCATTGATAATCAGTCAAAAAAAAAAACTACCTGGTATAAATCAAACAAAATGTGCGTAGAATATTTGTGTAAAATCCAACCGTGAAGATGAAAGAAAACTAAATGAATTAAAGGAAGGAAGAGATGGGCTGCCACGCCATTCCCGGTTTGCTCTCTCTGCTTCCCTCTTAACTGTTTAAGCTGTGAATCCCTGGGAAGCAGCAGCCTGGTAAAGGCACG